CATTTCTCGACGCATTATTTGAATCATTTTACAATACCGGAGAATATTCGGAGGCGAATATTCGTGATGAAATAAACACATTTATTTTTGCTGTAAGATTAATTTTTTTTAGATTAGATAAGATGTATTTTTATTGATAAATTGTCCTTTACAATTTTTTATTATTTTTTAGGGAAGTGATACTTCTGCTGGAACTCTTACATTTTTATTTTTAATGCTAGCATCGTTTCCGGAAGTTCAAGTATATAAAGATAACCATTAAGCATTATCAAATTTATCATAATCTTTTAGAAATCAAATTTATTTTTATACAAAACTTGTGTTATTTATTTKTCATTTTTGATTGTAGAATGAAGTTTATAARGAGCTGTACGATATGTACGGTTCAAGCAATGAGAATGATGATCCAATTACATACGATGATACTAAGAAAATGCATTATTTGGAACGAGTCATTAAAGAAACACTTCGTCTTTTTCCTCCTGCTCCATTTTTTGGACGAACATCATATAGCGATATAATAGGTATTCATATACACAAAAAATACTATTCTTATTTTTTTCCAGTATTTAAATTAATGTTTTATGTAATAATAATATGTATTTAATTATTATATGAAGTGAACGACAACATTGTAGTACCACAAAATACTGAAGTGTTTTTTTCGACATATTTTATGCACCGAAAGGGTAAATATTGGACGGATCCTTTACGATTTAATCCTGATCGTTTTCTTCCGGGAAATTATGATCCGAAGTGTTTCATTCCATTTGGTTCTGGGAAACGAGGATGTGTAGGTAAGAGCACATTATTATGCATTTCTTATTTAGTTTCTAAACTTTTTATTGCCAAAGTATATGTCTTTTTAATATGACTTTTTTAGGTAAATTATTTGCCATGGCACAAGTGAAAACAATAGCTGCTAGTTTATTGAGAAAATTTACTGTTGAAATAGATAACCCAGTATCAGTTGAAAATGTCAACGTAAACTTTTGCATTACTTTGAAACCAGCTGAAACTATACTTTTGAGATTTATCAGACGATAATATTTATTATTTTTGTCAGTACTATGTTCCGAATAAAACAATTGTAATAATTATATTTTTCTAATAAAAAATAAATTTTAAATACATAACATTTTCAATTTTTATTTAGAATATCAGTATTTGTGTTATTAACTATGAAATATACAATATTATCAATCAGAAAAGAAAACACATTTAAAAATATTACATATTTTAACAAGTTAATCGTAGTTAAATAAATGTTACATTTATTTTATTTTTATTTTCTATAAAAAATATTTTATAAATTTTTATCTTGAACACATTGGATCAAACATTCATCAGTACACACACTCATGCGCTTATGCTTATCAATTTGAAACGAAGAAAATGCAAACATGCGCGTATACGCTGAACGATTTTTATATATATTTTATTCCAGTTCTACTTTATCTATCATTTGAAAAATACTATTTATTAATTAATTACTTAGTACACAGACTTTCAGGTAAAGGACTTTAGTTTCCTAAAAAGATTTGTCTTCCTAACATAACAAAAATAAAATAAAAAAAGAATTATGTACCGAAATGTAATTAATCCATATATAAATAGAATATTATTTCACTATAATCTAATCCCAATTCATGGTTGCTAAACGTCAAACCAAGACTCTGTTAGTTGAGTAAAKTCAGTTACAGATAGAATACGGTAACTAATCTAAAATCACAACCAACAACCAAATATTAGCCTATCATTCCCTTATTAGCCAATCATAAAACCTATTTATTAAAGTCAGTGTTGTTATAAATATCGTGTATATTGTCTACATCTTGTTTGAATGTAATCGATAATTGATTTAATCGTGAATCGAATTTTTCGATACTTAAGAATATGATTAAAATAGATAAGAACAATTCGGACTTGAACGTCTCGCCAATGAGAATTACACTTACATTGTTTCTTTATTATCTCATGTGACATTTTTGAAATGAAATATTTAATTTAGTACGGGTCTAGCGCGGRTGGGMCAATATWTAARTTCCTRTTAAAGTTGTTGAGAATTACTACGTTATTCTAATTAAAAACTTGAAAACACGCGGTCCAACTTAMATTGTTCTAAAACATTAAATAAACATTTTAAWAAGATTGAAAGAACTATGTATTTTTTCTCGAATAATTAAAAYTAATAAGAACTATTTATAGAATAATGCACAACGATATGTCCWATTTTTKAATATTTTTTGAATTTTTTCAGATAGTAAAAAAATTYAAAAGAAGATAGTAAATAATGTAATAGGAATATACATATATAGCTTTACGTAGTAAACGCTAAAAGTATRTAYGTAAAAAGTATTACGTATATACGTTTACGTAATAATTTTCTATTAGCACAGTACAAAATCGAAGGAGTCAATTTATTTCTTCTAATTTTAATAATTACATGAATGATAAATTGTAAATATTTGCAAAGTGGTATTTATAAATGCTTACAATAAATAAATTAATACAAGACAGTTGTGTGTGTTTTTCTCATTTTTTCATGTTTTCATGTTTTCTCATATGTATTGAAACGTTATAAGAATTATACATTTTTTTATATCATTTATTTTCTTATTTACATTTAAAATTAAAACTCACTTTACGTAAGAAGAGAACATTTCTTTGACTGTTCAGAGCATTCATGTCTATTTTATACATAAGTTACTTATACGACGATATAGGATTCACGCTATAAGCCATTTTGTTAGAGTATAAACACGTGGCGCTGCTTGCCACGAACATTCTGTCGCTATGTGCAACGATTGTTGTGATATATAATAAAAAAAAATACTATTTTTATACATGTTTCATTCATTTTATATTAATTTCATATAAATGTAATAAAATAATAAGATTTTGAATAAATATAATACTCTAACAGCTTATATAATAGAGAATTTCGAAGGAAACAAGTATTTCATTATTTCTTCTTTTTTTCGGCAATCATTCTTCTAAATAAATATACATTTTAAAAGATCCACAAAACTACTATTTTTTTTCTTGTACTAGTGCACTAGTAGAAGACTCAGCTAAATCTTTAGGCCTTAATATTAAGAATTAAAAAAGTTATGAATTTTTTAATAAGAAAAGTCATTTTTCTCAATTTTTCAAATTTCGTAATTTTTTAAACATATTTAAATTTAATTTAGAGCTATATAACCTATATAGTCTTTTTTAGTAAGTATTAAAGAAGTCTCGAAAAAATGTGGAAGTAAATCCTATGCAAACGTTTCTTTTTATAACGATTTTTCTCGCCCGGGTCCAAAGGACCCGTGTGTGGTAAGCGTGTTGCCCACGGAAGTGAGGTAAGCAAAGGTTAATATTCATTTTTTAATAAAATAGAAACATTTAAAAAAGAAAATAAAAAAAAAATAAAAAAAGATGATAGACGAAGAGCTGGCTACATAAAAATGCATTTATCCGCTTCAAGATTCATTTCTATTGAAAAAGGTACCTTTGGTATAGCTGAACATTAATCTGCAAGTCTGCCATCGCAAAACTGGGGCTGTCTAGTTTCGTAGAAATTGGTATATTAAAAATGCTAGTAAATCTAGTGTCAATAAAATAACATGAATTTTAAAGTTGTAAGAGCAGAGGAAGGAAATATAGGAAAAGACATAATTTTTATTAATAATAACTAAAGATATATTTGGCTATTCAGTTATTATAAAGATAATTAGCTGAACAGTTTCTCTTAAGAGTATAAATATTCTTCCTCATTGAAACAATTCGCTCTACCCCTTAATGCTCTATCAAAATGCTAATAACTATACTATAAACATAAATTATTTTCAATGAAACTACCAAAGATATTGAATCATTTATAGTTTAAAATTTAAACACCGATAACAATAAAGACTTGTAAACAATAAGTAGTATTTCTAGACATCTTATTTTTAAACAATTTCTAAAAAGATTAACAAAATATGGACTGTAATAATAAATATTATCTCTTCTTAAACCTTAAAAAAATCTTTTTCGCAGGTTTTATAGTTATATCGAATTGTAGAACTAGGTCTTCTACTTTTTGTGGGACATCTACATGAACAGAAAATTTTCTCAATACAGTAGCAATTATTGCTTTCATTTCGAGCATTGCCAAATTGAAACCTATAACAGCAGAAATGATTCTCAATGTAATATTAHAAATATTTATATATAAAACAATTTCCTTACTAGATAAACAAATGATACTACCAATGCAACCTCTTGGCACAATGCTGAATAGTAGAAAATGTTTAGTATCGTAATTTCCAGGTAAAAACCTATCAGGGTTAAATTTTAAAGGATTTTTCCAATATTTTTCGTTTCGATGAAGTGCAAAAAACAGGAAAACACAAATAGAATTTTTTGGTACTATGACATCCTCGCTCACTTCACAAAATTAATAAATATATAGAATTAATACGTGAAATAATAACGTAAATTGTAAAAGAATATACGCAAATATTTATTCAGTATGTGTATGAATACCTTGTATATCTTCACATACACTTCGTGAAATAAAAGAAACGGGAGGAAAAAGACGTAAAGTTTCTTTGATCACTCGATTCAAAAATGTCATATTCTTAATGTCTTCAAATGTAATATGTTTATCTTCTGGATCGGTTGATCCGTATATTTGATATAGCTCTTTATGTAATTCTTTCTGCAATTTAGGATATGGAAAACACGATTCAATTTTAGTGTAAAAATATGTTCTATTTTTTAAAGGCAGTGAGACAGTTAATATAGAAGGTAAATTTTACTCGTACTTACTTGAATTTTTGGATAAGTAGCTAACATTAAAAATACAAAAGTAACTGCCCAAGTGGTTGAATCGCTTCCCTAAAAGAATACAAATTTTTTTTACCTTTTTTTTTTATAATCAAAGTCTTGTTTAAAGTAGATAAAATCTTACTTACAGTACAAACTATTGTGTTGATTTCATCWCTAATATCTTGCTCCGTATATTCTTTTCCCTCGTAGAATGATTTGAATAACGAATCAAGAAATGAAGGAGTATATTTTGCTTTATTCAAAAGAATAATGAATATACTATTTGGCATGTTCAGAACATCTTATTGCAACAATTTAATAAAAAATAGAATTAGATTATTGAATAGTTATTCTTACTTGCATCTTTTTCTTTCATTTCGCCATWAATTTTCTTTTCTTGCATCAATTCCTTCTGTTCCTTTATTATCTTAACAAAAAAGTTCTGTTTATGTATGCATTTTTATGAAAGTTATAATATAGTGAAAGTTATATATATATATATATATATTTATTTTATTGTAGTGATAGAATATTGTATATAAAATGAGATTATTAACACTTAGCCGACCACGCGCGCCGCAGCGAACTGTACAGTTTCCACCACGCTCGAGCAACCAAAACTACGCTGCCCACCACGCATTTTTCGTAAGTGATGCGTACTGATATGCGGTATTTGAAATCAAAGTAATTTAAAAATTATTTAAGTACCATTATATCTTGAGGTAACAATTTTATTTAACGATTTCACATATTGTTTATACAAAATACCAATATATCCCGATAACTCTTAGGYTTGTTTATGGTTTTATGGTCCTCCTAAACTTTCCCTTTAGTTTCTGAATAGAGTTTTCCTTTCCAGAAAATAAAATATAACGAAAAGAACTGAATACTAGATTTTTTCCTACACTATGTAGATAAATAAACGAAAAAAAAACCCGTTGCTAAGGTCAATATGGGAGATCTCCCCGATCGGTCGGGCACCGATCTACAATGAAACGGGGAGATCTCCCCGAGTGGTCGGCTAAGTGTTAAGATAAACATACTTTACTTTTTTTTATACATCTGACGTGATTTTCCCCCAAGTGTGATAAAGCTTCTCGAAATCTTATTCCTATAAATAGATTGTAAAAAATAATATCCGGATGTAACCAAAATTTGTAGATTCTTTGGATCGATATGTGTATTAATCTGAATAAAAATCAAAATCATTTATTAAAATATTGTTGCCATATATAGCAAAATCCACTGGTATRATCTCTGGGTGGAATAGTTGATAAAAACTATACTTTTTCAAATTAAAGCAATAAAAATGGAATGCTGAATGCGATAGTCATAGACAGACACCAAAATCGTAGGATGTTTATCGATGGAAACATAATTTGTGGTAAACTAAGTAAATATAAAATATTCTTTTTGTGAAACTCCGGTATAATATGTTATTGGTTACAATGATTTTCAAATTCTTACTTTCATCTACATGTTTGCGCTGTCTAACAAAAATTTTAGAAATGCCGAAATAAAGATGTTACGAAAAACATATGGAAAATACTGCTGGACTGAACAAAGGATCTAGTACAAATGTAATGAGAGATTTAATAATAGAAATCTTTTCGAGAAATGCTTTTCCATCTCAATAGCCTACCACAATTCGAGACCCTTTATTATTTATAACGTGTCTCGTCTTTATTCTTTGGACCACAAACTTATCTTTTTAAATACTCTCGTCTAAATAAAGATCTGAACAACGAAAAATCTAAAAAATGCATTGAATCGTATCGCTCTCTCAGCTTATCGAGCTGTGTACACTACGAATTTCAAATTTCAGCTCCGTGGTAAGCTCCACCGATTCACGCTGGGCGTTCAACATCTTAAAAATGATTTTATTTTATTGAAACATTATTATAAGTTTCTTAAATACGAAAATATTACAATAAATAATATAGTTTTCTTGTATGCGACTTATAATGTGACAGTAATTTACTTGCTTTTGAATGGAATTTGTCAGCTTCTTCTTATGTATTCTACAGTGTCTTCTAATTCTTTTTCTCTGATGTATCTGATAATAATTTTTTTTTTTTTTGGTAAAATATTGCAGACAATACAATTATTATATTTTATATATTTTCTAAGAGTATAATTCATTAGTTACAATAGTGAACTGTAAGTAGCGAGTGAGCCAACAAACAGCCCTGAGAAACCGCTCAGTACAGCGCATCATACTGAACCTTTATACTGTTTAGTTCATATCTTCTAAACGAATCGAGATACCATTATAAATTTTGTTGCATAATATTTCTTCACTACAAGCTATTTTTTGAGGTAAAAATAAAGAAAATAAAAATATGCAAAACTTAATAAATTCACATTTTTAATTTTAACTTCCGGTTTACTAGACGAAAAAAAATTCAATTTCAAATTTTTATTTACTTCCAAGAAAATTAATTTTTATTCTTTAATAAACACGATTTATTTCTTATTTAATCGATTATATTGACCCTTTTAATAGTATTCGTAAAATCTATTTGTTATATTTTGTCAATTCTTTGAAGCCCCATAAATTGGTAACTAAGGTAAAAAAAAAAATAATGATGTACAATTATTTGGATCCCATAGAATTAGGTACAATTATGCTATTTATGAACAAAATTCACGACCTCACATTTTTTTCGTTGTCCGCTTTACGTGAAATGCCCTTTATATTAAAGAAGATTCTTTTATTTTCTTGTAATTATACTAATTTATACTTGTAATTATTATATCAATTATTTTTCAGTTATTTTTAAAAAGAAATCTTTTTTAGTAATATAGATAGAAATATTTTTTTTTTTAAGTAAAAGATAAAAGTATAATTCTAAAGTTTACCTGAAGCAGTTACCAAACCATTACCAACAACAGGTTTTATAAAATCATATATGTGGGGTGCGAGAATGTGAGTGAGAACACTTAAGCATGAGTGGGCCAGAGAGTACTTATCGGATATAGATAGGCAGAAGATAAACTATGTAATATAAACAGCCGAATAACGATAGAAAGAGCGTCACCCAAGGAAGTAAATTAAAGAAAAGAAACCAAGAGGCAGTCATCGTTTAGTAGCCGAGCAAAGAAGGCGTTTTACCATCACTCTGTATTTTTACTTCTTTATATTAAATATATTGCATATCCATGAAGAGAGGTTTTTCTTTCTACATCAACCTATTAATAACACCGCGGAATTCTTATCTTTTTACTCGTTAGATATCCTTTAGGAAGACTAACAGGAGAAGGGGAATCCCACATATATGGAACTTTTTTCAAAAGCATTTGAATGCTTAGCAATAATCTAGAAAAAGAAGAATTCAAAAAAGTAAAAATGAAAAATGTAAGAAGAATTTAACTGTTAAAAATTCATCGTGGGAAATTATAGAAATGCTTATGAATCTTACTTCAATATGTTCCGGATCATCCAAGACTATACATAATTTTGGCCCTATCAAAAATCTCCATKGTGATGGAGAGTTTTCAATTGCTTTTAACATTTTTTTAGTTATGTCTAATTATAAGATAAATTCAATTAATACTGTTCGAAAGAATGTAAGTATTATAATTATAAGACGAAAACTTACCCTTGATATCACCAAGAAATATATGTAGATTTCCAATGACAGGATATGCTTTAGGTCCTGAGTACCTTTTTATCAAATTATATTCATGTAATTTATTTATTAAATATTTTATCATATAGTATAATAAAATTATTATTATTGGTAATGTAATAAAAGTTTCAATAAATTCCATATTGTTTTAATTGAATCCAAAAAAAAATATAGAAATAGTCTTTTTTTTTGTAAATATTCTGAGTCCTTCTTATGTAAATTTCGAACAGAAAATTTAACAAAGCACAGAAACTTCAAGCTATCTTCGAGTCTCAGCAGTTATTGAAAGAAATCAAAAAGAGCTTGGCTTATTTAAAGAAAACGATATCAATGTGGAAGGTGGGACAAAAAAAACTGATTTAATATCAAATTTTTTGTTCGAAAGGATATTCTCTTACGTATATGCGTTAAATAAGCTCCGTTGTTTGTAAGTTTTTTAATGGACCAGCAGCGCCGCGGTCATCCGAGACGGGCACCGCGCCGGGGGCCCGATCCCCCCGGGCCGAATTTAGCCGAACGACGTTCAGTTCGAATCCGACTTAGAAAACGACGAGACGAAAGATATTGAATAACTGTATACGAAAACAATAAAGACTATATTCCGACCTAGCAATTCCTAACGGCTCACTCTTGATTAAAGAACACTGACCTACGCTCTGTTGGAGACCTCACCTCTTCGTCTCCAAATATATATATATAATTATTCGTAAAAGTTATTAATTATTCATGTGACATAATTTATATCTTTGTTTTACCTTTATACTACAATTGCATTTATGATACATTCTCTTTGCATTAATTATAAAAGATAATTCTGATTAATTTCTAGATCAAATTCGGCCTGAAGTTTTGAAGACCATGAGTAGTTACGAAAATGGAAAGATTTTTAGGCTAACAAAATTCGTAATCTTAATTTTTTTTTATTACGGTAATGAGAATGGCTTTTATCAAATACAAATATTTATATGAGACAAGTAATTAGCAACTAAATATGAAGTGGTCAGGAAGATAATAATAAAAAACTAATACGTACGTGATTAGAAGTAGTGATTAAGAGGGATGACGAAATGCAAGGATGTTATAACTTAATATGCATATAGAGTCCCTTTCGGGTCCCATAAACACAAAAACTAAGATTCTACTCAAAAAAGGCTTTAAAAAAAGGGAAAAACATTTTGTAGGATTTGATCATTCATTGCGATTATGAATGTCTGCATATTACGTTTTGTTAAGAGATAGAGAAAAACTTTTATTATATTTCACTCACATAGTTTTACGAATTTTTAAAACATTGCAAACGCTAAGTTTTTTTTTACAATATGGAAGATAAAAATATTTTTTTGTCTTATGTGTTATTAGTTTAGTAGAATGTCTATAGTTAGGTGTAGGGTATATTTTTCATTGCACAGGTAATCTCTGTGATAATCTACAGATACATTAGTGAAAATAGAATTTTCTAAAAAATCGAAGCAACCTTATGAACTCTCTCTTCGCTAAAATTATTTTAATGATTTGGTACTACAACAGCATGAAATCAACATCTATGTAAGATGGAACGAAATCATTGTAATGTCCATAACCTATTTTCGATAAAGTTTTATTATCTTTTTCTTCTTCTACTTGATATCAGAGAGAAAAACCAGGCGAGTAGCAAGAGATATATTTATAAGCATTTAAGAATAATACAACTCGTTTTTACCTAATTGCATAATCACGGCAATCAACTTTAATTATTCCAGAAAAACTACATAATTTATTTTATTTATATGCTAATCTCTTACGAGTTAAGAAAATACATTGTTGTTCGGATGTTTATGAATTTTTTGTCGGTTTTTATATGTCTTCGTTCATTTTA